TGGAGAAGAGTTATTAAATGAAGTTATTCAAACAAACTGTAAACGTTATGAACCCAAGGAAATAAAAGTGCCATTGACAGCATATTTAAATAAAAAATCCAACAGTGGTCAACTAATTATATTAATTGAACCTACCAAAAAAGCATGGGATGAATGTCAACGTGGAGACTGGCAATATAGACAAATTATATCAGCCTGGTTACAATGTACGCGATTAGCAGTCGATGTATATCTTTCTTCAGGTAAGTAAATTAGAAAAGTAGAGAAGCTAATTTGTTAGCAATTAATACTTTTGGATTCAATCGCACCCAAATGAGATCTAAGACTGGATGGTTTCGGCACATACTGAAAACTACTTGGGAAAGTTTTGAGAACTTTTACTGCGGTAAACTTCCGTAAAACATATTTTTACCGTTACCGCTCATCCCTAACGTAATCGAAACATTGTAGCAACCTGGTCTATTGTACGGTTTTCACTGGTGTGGAAGATGATATTACAACTTATGTATTGTAACTAATATGTTTTATTGGTTATAACAGATGAAAAAGTACTCGTCACTGCATGCCGTAATCTTCTCTCTTAAATAATACTGCAGTATAAATATTTAACAGAAACTAAATGACGTCAAAATGAACCTGTAAAGTCGAAATGTAACGTGAGCCATTCCATATGAAATCGAAAAAGGATGTTGATGTCATGTCTTTTATATTTTAAGTGTCCAGACATACTTAGAAACATACACAAAATATATCTTTTGACAAATCCATATTAAGGATGATATACGATATTTATAAAGTCGTTCCCAGCATAAATAAATTTATCACTATTCCAGCACATCAACTTCTGGATCAAAATATCTTATCTGTGTATATCGTAAACGTTTGGTATTATGTGCCATGGTGGTTGGTTATGTGCACTATGAGTTGCTATAGTAATGGTCTTCAGGAGATTCTTTCGTATATAGCTCTTTACATTAGCAGTTGCACCACGTAACTTCGGAACTTTGGGGAAACCCATTGGAACTTTTGGAAATAATTAGAAATTAATGCGAACTAATTTAAAAACGTCTCATATTAAACTAGTGCGCATTCATTTTTTTCTGATTAAAAATCAATTCAAATTAATTTAACTTCATAAATTAATTCAAATCAATTGAATTTTAATCAGAAAAAAATGAATGCGCACTAGTTTAATATGCAGCTTTTTTAAATTAGTTCGTATTAATTTCTAATTATTTCCAAAAGTTCCAATGAGAGGTTATTCATTTTCATGTACTTAGGACCGCCCTTTCGCAATCTCTGAAAAATCAGCAATTTCTATTTTTTAACATTTGTTTCGTGATTACATAAAAACACTTCTAAGACATTCCTGAGCGTTCAAACATGTATTGTAGACAGGTGCACATAGCCAAACAAAAAAGATTCTTTTCGCGAGGACCGAGCAATCAGATAAAAAGAATTTTAGTCGAGTTTATCCTTATGGAGAAATGCGATTTCATCTAGGATAGTATCAAGATAGCCAATCGCTTCGAAACTTTTCGGTCGGAGGGAACATATGAGACTTTAGAAAAAGATAGGTCAGAAACTCCTTTCATCCTAAGCGAAAAACGATAAAAGCAAACATTGTTTCTTTTTCTAGCTAAACCTGTAAGTATTGATATAGTATATTGCTAAAAATTAATGTATGACTGTCTCACCAAATAAGCAGATCATACAAGTTTTATTGTGTCAAAAGTGCACTTGTGAGATAGTGGTTAAAGAGAGTATTCACGAACATTCAGTGATAGTAATTGATCTTCCTTAGCATGCAACGCACATTTACACAAAATTCAATGTGAGATAAAAGTTTGATTTCATCACGTTTGCCATATTCATTGAGTGGTTTTGAGTCCTGTTGGATCTCTTTAACGGGATTGTTATAATCGCTTTATTATTTCTTTGAATTTATTTTTATCGATGTAATCAGAAGAGTATTTGGTCAAAATATTGTTGTTTTGTTCTTTAAACAAAACTGCTTTGATTATAAATTTCTTTATACTATAGGTATGGACTTAATCTTAACTGCATGGGTTACTGAATTAATGACTGGC